AGAGTTTGGCACATCTTTTAGACATAATTGTGCTAAACTTTGACCTTTAAAACTATATATATATATATAGTGATCTGTATAATCTTGACTAATTTTTCGCACAGGCCTCAAACCATAAGCAGTACCTTTCCACGCAGAAGACAATTGGAGCTTTCAGTGGGTCTCGAATTTTGCTTGGGCATCGCAAATTACTTTCTTCCTCAAAAATCTCAACATATTGGAGGGTATGTTACTATTTATATCATTTTTCCAGCACAACCATCACCTCATATTTGTAACCCCTCTTCAATTTTTATAAAATACATCTAACTGTTTATAGAAATGTCAAAATTTATACTAATTTGACACTAAAAATAATGATGCTAAAATTAGACAATTTGAATGACAACTCCATTAAAGCACAAAACTGTTATAATGCAAGTATGATAACTCAAACAGCAGCAACACAATAATATGAATTGCATCTACAGAGAAACTATCAGAAAGAGACCAACCTGATATGTTCGCAGCCAATTCTTCTTCTTTTTTTAAAATGGAGGACGGGTTTGACTATACAACCTGATATGTTCAGAAAGCATATTTCGAATTACAAGCATGAACACGTCAATCACAATTTAAGAACAAAATTGTTCTTAAATCATACAATGATACCTACACTCTCTTTTTCATGTTTAAGAAATTCACAGGAGATGGAATGAGAAGGAATGCACTGACCTTTATGAATGGCCGTTCACAGTCGCTCACAGTCGCTTGTCACTCGTCGTTCACAGTCGCTGCTGCTCGTCACTCCGGCAAAGGCCATCGTTCACCCTCATCGATCACCACTATTTTGATTTGAGGATTTTGGGAATTTTGGTTCTAATAGTTGGATCAATGGATTGGGATTTTGGAGATTTTAGGGATTTCGGTTTGAGGAATTTAGGAATGATTAGAGAGAACCAATTTCGGTTTGAGGGATTTCGATTTTAGGGATTTTGAAGATTTCAGGAATTTAGGGATTTCAGGACTTTGACCGCGAAATGGGATACAAAAAGCGGGATACCAAATATTTATTTATTTGCGACGGCATATTTTAACCGTAGCAAATGAGCATGATTCCCAAATGAAATGACGCCGTTTTACCCATAGTTTTTTGCGATGGGCTTCTGCCGTCACAGATGGTCCACTATTTGTGACAGCAACATCTTACCGTCGCTAATAATACGTTTTTGCGACGGTATACCGTGCATCGCCAATGTTTCTGCAAATTTCTTTTTACAATCTTTAGCGACGGAATACACCCCGTCGTAAAAGTCCATGTTTTCTCGACGGTAGATACACGCCGTCGCAAAAGCCTTTTTTGGCGACGGCAAATATACCTCGTCGCAAAAATTCCTTTTTTGCGACGACAGTCACCCCGTCGCAAAAACCTCCGTGTTATTTGCCAAATTTTCTTGTAGTGAAATTATACTCAAAACTCATTTGCTTTATTACTTTCAAGCTTACCAACTTAAGTATCAAAAAATCTCTTAACCGACTACCAATTGAAAATTTTTACTTTTTATGAGTGTTTCAAACCATATTCATTCAAATTTTTACCGTTTGCCATCGCATCAAGGATGGTCAAATTTTTTTTCCACACTATATAATCGTCAAATTTTTTTTCCACACACTATATAATCTCGATTGTCTCAAAATTATAATTTGTTCATGGAGTTTTCTTAAGTGTGCAAGTGCACACCATGTGCCACTTACACAAAAAGTGTAAGTGTAAGGTGTAAGTATAAGTATAAGGTGTAAGTGTAAGGTGTAAGGTGTAAGTGGATTGCACATGGTGTGCAACCTCAAAAAAGGTGTAAGTATAAGATTTAATTTTTTACAAAAGGTGTAAGTGTAAGATGTAAGTGTAAGATATAAGGTGTAAGGTGTAAGTTGCACACCATAACCAAACCATTTGTTCATATATCAATCCAACAATGTATATAATATAGAACAAGTTCAATAATTTCGCCTTGTCCCATTATATTTGAAACTAGCCACTTGGACAATTCAATATTTGCAAGATATGTTCCTTTAATGATTTGATTGCAGGAGGACTTTAATGTGAATTGGATGTGATAGCTATGTAATAAATAGATCTCACTGTGCTGATTCTTAGGTTCCACCTAGTTAAGGTTGTTCTGGACAGGTTGCGTCCACGGTCTCAACTGTTAATTAATTAATGAGAAATGTTTGAGGATCACAATTTTGTAATTACAATGACTTAAAATTATTAAAATGATGTCATTTTAGGTGTCAAAACAATATTGTTTTGACAGTTTTAAGTCATTGTGGTCACAAAATTATGGCCCTCTAGCATTGTTGTTAATTAATCTCCTCTTTTTTTTTTCAAATAATATATATATTTTTTAAATTATGTCAAAATTTTGTACGTTTTTGGTCTGTTAAAAAAATTTAAGAATAACAAATTTTTAAAAATTAAAATAAAAACTATAATAAGTCCCAAAAAAAATTATTTTTAATTTTTTTGGACTTTTTATTATTTTTTTCCTTATTCGTCTCATCGAGTAAAATATAGAAGTCTTTTTCAAAAAAATTGTAAAAAAAAAAATCACCAAGATAGAAATAAGCTAACAAAAAAATACAAAAAAAAAAAAGTAAGCCCCAAACACCTCATCAACCCATGGAAAAGTTTTGGCGTTTTTTTGTCAAGAAGGAAGTAGATTCTTTACGAACTTAAGAATGTTATTAGGCTCGTGATATAATTTCATGTTATTTATAAGAAGATGGACTTTAAACTCTATTAAGTTTTGTTTGACAAATAAATCAAGATTGTTAAGATTTTTGTAGCTAAATATTTTAAGATTATTTGAACAATTAAGATTGAATGTGACCGATTTTATTAATTTTGACACTTTAATAAAGCTTTCTCTATCCATGATATCCACCTCTAAGGTACCCTCTTCCACCCACCATGGTAGAGTTGAAAGAGAGGTGGGAAAGAGAGAGAGTGTAAATGATGACAAAGATAAGTATGAAATTATAAGCATGTAGAAAAATAAAATAAACAATTTAAATCTTCACAATTCTTATTCATAAAAATGAAAATGATACAAAAAGACGTGACAATGGGTTCGTTTGGGAGGTGGGTTGGCTTTTTAACTTGTTGGCTATTTTAATTTGAGGTTAAAAAGTCTCGTTTGGGAAGGAATTTTTTTGACTTTTTTGACTTTTTGTGAGATAAATAATGTAATGATTATAGTTAGATGTGATATTTTATCTTATTGGACTAAAAAGCCTATTTTGTCTTTTTGTGACTAAAATAGCCCTAACACTTTGTTTGGGTTGAAATTTTCAAAAATAATTTATTTTTTTATTTTTTAATTTTTTTTGGGTGTATTTTGTTGTCTTTAGTAATTTTGTAAATTATTTGTTAGTCACATATTTTATAATTATTTTTTATATGTAACTAATCTAAATATTCTTAAAAAGTAAAATATTTATGAAGATTATAGAAAAAGATGTGACAATAACACTTTGTTTGGGTTGGAGTTTTTTTTTTAAAAAAAAACAAAAATTAGTTTTTTTTTTATTTTTTATTTTTGTATTTTGTTGTCTTTAGTAATTTTTTAAATTATTTTTTAGTCACATTTTTAATTATTTTTTAGATGTTAAATATTCTTAAAAAGTAAAATATTTATGAAGAAATCTAAAAGGAATTCACAAATACTAAAAAAAAAATACAAAATATTCTAAATTTTATATATATTTTTATTAAGTAGTTTTTTTTTTTAAAGAATATCTAGATTAAGTAAATCTAAAATGTAACAAAAATTTAATTAAAATATTTACAAAATTCATTAATTCGGTATTTGATTCATGCATTTGTGTAGAAATTTGGAAAAGAAAATGAAAAAGGTAGATTAAATACTTTATTTCACATACATTTTTCCTTTCTCATTTTAAATTTATGCCCAAATCTATAAACCAAAAACAACATAAAAATAAAAAAAATAAGAATTGAAATCTTGAAAACATTTGTTTTTGAAACTTCAAAATCAAAGTAGAGTGAAAAATTTCAGGGAAATTATACTTTACACACCTCCTACCATATGCATCTTAAGTTATACTATTTTATTCTTTAATTATTATTATTTTTTTTTTTAGTTATGACCTTATTTTAGTTACAGCTTATGAGATATTTGATTATTATTATTTTTTAAAAATTTTAATTATGACTAAAAAATATAAAATAATGTTATTTTTTATTTAATTATAAGATACATACGATACACATATTTTGAAGAGGGTTTACCATAGTCTTTTCCAAAACTTCAAGGACAAAGTAGAGTTAGGGATGGCAATGGATAACCTACCGTGTGGGTATCCACGGAGACTCAACCCAAATACATGGGTTTTCCCCTCTTTTTCTTATCCATTGGGTAAGGTAGGTGATATTCTTTAAATATCCACAGGGGATGGGTTGGGGATGGATACCCACTAATTTCAAAAAAGATTGAAGGTATATTTAACTTTTGTTGTCAACCTTAAAAAAAAATAAATAAAATAAAAATTGTTAATATCCAATACCCATTAAATATATTGTTAAAGTCGAAGAAAGTGGGTTGGGAAAAATCCAATACCCATTAAAAAATGGAGAGGGTGGTACCCATGGGGAATGGGGAAAATTTATTATAGGGGAATGGGGATGGGGAATTAATATCCATCCCATTGCCCCCCATTACCATTCCTAAGTAGAGTGAATATTTTTATTAGTTTTGAGGCATATGGTTTTTTTATCTTGAAATCACAACCAAAAAAAAAAAAAATCACATCATTTTGCAAGAAACGAACCGCAGAGGAAAAGGGCCACCGAGGATAGTCTAGTCCGTATAGATATGGGCCATCACTAATCCAGCCCAGTTTAAAGTCGGTTTCGTTTCGTTTCGTTTCGTCAACTCTTTTTGGTTCGTCTGACAGTTTTATTCCATACCACCGACACGTGTCCATCGAAACAACAAAAATGCTTTGAAACCCCAAAACCAGAGCAGATCGTATATATCAATGTTCGAATCAAATCCAAAACAATAAAACAAAAAAAAAGACGCGAAAACGAGATTTAGATTGAAAACAAAGTCTCACTCTGACCTCTGAATTCAATTCCTTTACTTTACTTGTTTGGTTCAGTCTAAGATTCGAATTCGCTGAAGTCGAAGAAAGTCATCGTTGTGAAAAATCGAGTTCTTCAGGTGAGGAATTTCACTATTTTTTTTTCCTCATTGTTTTTTCATCCTAATTTAGCTCCAAAAATGTTTCTCAAATTTGGGAGTTTTAGGGTTTTGTTCCTTATCCATGTTTTGATCGTGCTTAGGTTATTCACAATCCAGACTCTTTAATTTGATTTAGATTGCGTTCTGAATTAAAAAAAGTATAAAATAAAATCGATTTATGGGTTTTCCAGTTGAATTTCAATCTGTTTTCTATGTGAAAAGTTGGGAAAGGAAAAGGAATTAATTTTTTTGATCGTTTAGTACACAACGAATAAAGCATAAGATCTTAAATTTAGCTTTCTTTTCAGTTTGGTTGGACTTCTGGGCAGCCAAACATAGGGCTATTGCCTGTAAAGAATACAGTTGAGTTTGTGTAGGTAATTAATCAAAGTGAAGTACTGGTTGTATCCTATTAAACACTGCATTCTCAAAAGCCCAATTTTTTTTTTTTTTTTTTTTTTCTCAATTTTGGCCTTGCATGTGTTTGAACATTGAGTCAAAGTAGAAGTGTTTTGAATAGAATACCCTTTGAATTGATTAAGCTGATCTTTTTAGTTATGCACAGATTTAAGGATCGGATAATCATGGCCACTGCAACTATGGCCACTGCCGCTGGTGCAGCGGCTCTTTTATATTATACATTGAACCGGAAACTACAATCGAGTGTGCCTATAGAAGACGACGAGGAAAATGGTACCGATATAAGCAATCATACTCCTTTAGGAATCGATCGAGTTTCTCATAGACTTATTCAAGCCCCTGCAACATGGTTGGAGACGATTTCGACCTTGTCGGAGACTCTTAGGTTTACCTATTCTGAGACTTTAGGGAAGTGGCCTATTGGGGATTTGGCATTTGGGATCAACTTTCTTTTAAAGAGGCAGGTAAGCATTTCTTGTATGTGGTGTTCCTTTTAATATGCAAAGATTTAAATGTTTGATAATTGCTCTTCTGGTATGTATATTTGTTCTGCAGTGTTACTAAATAAGCCTGATTTTCTTGGTTAATGGAATGAAACAGCTGGAATCCTTGAAAAGACATTGGGTTTAAATATTAAAATCTTACTAAATCATTTTGATAATGACAACACCAGTAAAAGAGTGAAATTTTTTTCTTTATAAATTTTGTTGGAAGTAAATCATTGACTCCACTGAAAAACCTCGACTATTTGAATCTGATAACGGATTCTGGTCATTTTGGGTCTTTCCTCGATCGTTTTTTACCATCCCCTCCCATATTCAGAATTCTTTTATCTTCTTATTGCAACTGGTAACCTAATTTTTTCCCATGAATATGTTGGTAATTATGAATACGGGGAATGCAAATCGGGGGGGCACCTAAAGAGTGAAACAGAGCAGGCAGGTGGAGGTTCTCGGACTAGGAATACTGATGTGCATATTTTACTAAAGTTACAGAAATATTAGACAGTTAGAAAATAATAATCAAACATATAGTCTGTGAGGTGGTTCTGAGGAGAGCAACAAGGAATAGATTATTATGAGGCAATGTCAGTGAAAGCATAAACGCACATACACAAATGCCTGCTGGAGTCTAGGCACAAAAGCGCATGCCTAATTAAAGTAAATCTTAAATTGTTAAAAAATAATTATAATATAACAAAAGATTCCTTTTTTGTAGTTAAAAATTAAAAAATATGAAATAGTAATTTATTTAGGCATGCGCTTGCAGGGGTAAGGTTGCGTACATCAACCCTTCCAACCCTTCCCTAGACCCCGCTTAAGCTGGAGCTTTGTGCACAGGGTGCGGCCCTTATTTAGCCTTTTAATTAAAATGGTTTGAGTCTTATGCAATTGTACAAAGGCTGTAGGTAAATACTTTACATAGGCTTGTTAAATTTCTTAAAATTCTCTGATGTAAATTTGAAAACAATGTTAATGAATAACATGACAATCAAGTGACCAACTAATGGTGTATTATTTAAATATAACTTTGATATAATTTCTCTCATGCTTAAAATATTTACAACGGTGATATTTGATAGTCGTGGTAAAAAATAGCAATGTCTGCTACTCAACCTTGGGTGAGACGCATAGTGACCGTGTTATGACAATTTTGGATCAAAATTACCTCCGTGCCCTTTTTTTTTTGGGCATTTTGGTGTCAATAAAACACAACCTATTCAAAGTATCACATAGACTTTTCCTTGCAAAATAGATTCACGTATCAAAGTATCATATAGATTCACCTACAATTCGTATTGATTTTTCATAAATTACGAATCGTAAGATTTTGATAACAAAGATGGAGATAGCTTGCAATTTCTTTAAACGGTCCAATTACTCTTAGGCCTCGTTTGGCAACCGGACTTTTTAGCCAAAAAGTTACTAAAGTAGCCAAAAAGTCAACAACCCATACCAAAAAGTCAAAGATTCTCTATTTTCTCTACTTTTTGCACATCTTTTCGTAAAAAACCAAAAAGTCATTCCAAACATACTAGTTTTTTTTAGCTCATATTTTAGCCAAATAGCCAAAAAGTTACTAAATTAGCCTGTCCCCAAACGAGGCCTTAAGTTAATTGCAGTGGGGTCAATTTTACCTATATATGTATTATATAATTTTTTTTCCCTATAAAATTATATAATTCAGCGAGAATCAATTGATCCCACACCAATATATGTGGTGCCGCCCATGTGGTTGCTACTAATTTCTCTTGAAACACTGTGTTACTTGTGCATCATGACAACATTGCAACTAAGGCAAGATTAATTTGCATGTAAATTGTTCAAAACATTTTTGAATTAACACTTTAATTTTGACTAACTTAGATGTTATTTGAAAAATTCATCGTAATATCTGCTTCTATTGATTTTGTTGTATCTTTTGTTTTTAAATTACTAAAGAAACAATTCGCTTGTCAGTTTAATAATGAGATAATGAAGATGATTAGCTTGGTTATCCGTGGAGCTTTTATTTGTTTGGCTAAGTACTTTAATAACAAATGGGATTGTCTTGCAGGGAAACTTGCATGTCGCAAGTGTGTATGGTGGGGAAGAAAGTTTACAGCTCAAAGGGCCTGAAATAAAAGCCGAGCTTAGATATCTCCTAAATTTGTTGACCCTTTGTTGGCACTTCTCGAAAAAACCATTTCCATTATTTTTACAGGAGACGGGCTATTCTGAAGGAAATGTTCTCCTTCAGGAACCCAAAGCCGGAGTAAGTATTCTTTTGACTTCAAAAATTCTGTACAAATACATTATTTCTTGTTCCTTAATTTTTATTTATTTTTTTTGATTGGGCAGGGTTGGATTTGGGGGGAATGGTGTGTGTGTGTGTGTGTGTGTGTGAGAGAGAGAGAGAGAGAGAGAGAGAGAGAGGGATAGAGAGAGAGAATTTCTGCAGTTCACAAGTTCACAATCTATAAATTCTTCAGTGATATACATTAACATAATCTATGTTGGGAGCATGATTTACACTCATGCATTCTTTTTTCCTTCGTACTTATTTTTATTTATTTATGTTTTTGCAGATTTTGAAGCCGGCTTTTACAATTCTAGTTGATCACAAAACAAGATTTTTCCTCTTACTGATTCGTGGAACTCATAGTATCAAGGATACTCTGACTGCTGCAACTGGAGCGGTGGTGCCATTCCATCACTCTGTTGTGCATGAGGGGGGAGTTAGTAATTTGGTCTTAGGTTATGCACACTGCGGAATGGTTGCAGCTGCTAGATGGATAGCAAAGCTTGCAACTCCTTGTCTTATTAAAGCACTTGATCAACATCCTGATTATAAACTTAAGGTACTGAGTTCGAGTATTCAATTTGTGCCTATCGTTGTGTTGTGCAATATCTACGTTAGAAAATGAACTGAAACAAGAATCTTATGGTCATGTTTTTGTTTTCTTTGTTTCATTTTTATTTTTCGTATTTCGGAAGCAAAAGCATGGAAAGTTTTGATGACACACAAATTTTCCTATTATCTTCATTTTTGTGTGAAAATAGTTCTCAAAAATTCAAAAACAATCTTTTGATGTTTCGGAAACAATCTTTCCTTTTGTTTATTGAAGCATCAAAAGGTTGTTTTGTTTATTTGGTGGTATTTGCTAATTATTATGGTTGTTGAGGGGAACCATAAAAGAAAATAATGCTATCATTTCTTCTCTTGGTTTCCTGCAGATTGTGGGACACTCCTTGGGTGGTGGCACTGCAGCAATTTTAACGTATGTACTACGTGAGAGGAAGGAATTGTCAACAGCTACTTGTGTGACATTTGCACCAGGTTTGTGTTTGTTCTGCATTATGTCCTGAGCATGCTTTTCTTGTGTGCCATTGTTACGTCTCATGCATCTTTGTGCTCCGAGTTTGTTTATAGCTGTCTTTTCACTGTGTGTAATAGTTGTTTTTGGGGTGTTCTCAATTTGTTGTCTGACCTTTAGTATAGTTTTAGTGCTGACTGGATATCTGATGCACAGCTGCTTGTATGACATGGGAGTTGGCAGAATCAGGCAATGACTTCATTACTTCAGTTATAAATGGAGCTGATTTGGTTCCTACATTCTCAGCTGCTTCAGTGGATGACTTGCGTGCTGAGGTATCATTCTGGATTCTGTTATATTATAATATCTGGCATTTAACTGCCTTATCCTACATGTATTATGATGGGAATGTAGAAGGATGCATATGAGATTTGTTGTGCTTTTATTCACTTGATATATATGTTCTCTCTCTCCCCCCCCCCCCCCCTCCCCCCCCCCTCTCTCTCTCTCTCTCTCTCTTCCTTTTTAAAAAAAAAAATTTGTTATAGTTAAATTTTGGTGTATATAAAGTTGCTGTGTATCGGTGTTATTATCGCTGCCAAAGTTTATTTATATGAGATTTGTTGTGCTTGCATTCAGTTGACATATATGTTGTTGATCCTTATTTTTAAAGTTAAAATTGGGTGTATATAAAGTTGCTGATGTTGTTGATGGGAATGTTCCAAGACAGGTTGAATAACTCGAGGTATTAGGGACAAATCTTGTGCTAAACCAAACCAAACCAAGCCAAGCCTTAAGTTCCATTAAATGGGGTCAGCTGACAGGTTAAATAACTCGAGGTATTAGGGACAAATCCTGGCTAAACCAAACCAAACCAAACCAAACCAAGCCTTAAGTTCCATTGAATGGGGTCAGCTGCATAAATCAAATCTTCTCCACTCGATTCAATCTAAGGCCATTTCGTTAATCAAATTAAAGAGATTAATATCTCTATTTACTATACTAGTCCACGTCAATCTAGCTCTACCTCTTCCCCTAAACTACCATGTACCGTCATTGTCTCACATCTCTTTACTATTGCCTCTATTGATCTCTATTGTATATGATTAAACCATCTCAATTTATTCTCTCTCAACTTATCTTCTATCGGTATTACTCCTACCTATTCTTGAATATACTCATTCCTAACTCTGTCTTTTCTGGTCTTGCCACACATCCACTTTAGCATCCACATTTTAGCATCACTCATCCTCTCCACATGGTGTTTCTCTATCATTCATCCACTCTAGGGCTTCATGATGTTACCTTATTAGGCTTCGATGTTGGCTCTCTCGTTGACCAGTGTAAAAAACTGACTGTTTTATTAGATTCAGAAGATCAAGCAAGTCATACCAACATTTACATGGAATGCAACTAAATTCTGTTGGGCTTGTTGCAGTTTTTGCTAAACTGTTGCTCCTGCTTATAATTCTTTCATTACACACTGTTTTGTATTTTTATTTTTATTTTAAGTTCAATCTTTCTTGCTGCAGGTGACTGCATCTGCTTGGCTGAATGATCTTAGAAATCAGATTGAGCGTACAAGAATCCTAAGTACTGTCTATCGATCTGCTTCAGCTTTGGGGTCTCGTCTTCCATCAATAGCCAGTGCTAGAGCAAAAGTTGCTGGGGCCGGTGCAATTTTGCGTCCGGTTTCCAATGGTACGCAGGTAGCTTCCTCTTTCTGCTACATAAATTAATTGCGCCTAAAATATTTTGTTGACTGAATTAGTTTCTGACTCTCTATTTTCTTGCTACCTGAGCAGTAATGATCGTAGTTTGCACTTGTATATTGCCTAAGGACCCATCTAAGGCTTCTTGTTTTTGTTTGTCATACCTACAGGTTGTGATGAGGCGAGCCCAAAGCATGGCTCAGGCAGCATGGTCGCGTCCTTCTCTGCGGTTATCCTCATGGTCATGCATGGGCCCACGTCGTCGGCTCACAGCTGCTCATTCATTCTCCAAAGAAGAGGGGAGTGCTTTGGAATCTTCTTCCCCTAGAACAGAAACTTCTGAACCTTTTCTCACACACACTCTTGAGACCACCACATCTATGGTGGAAGAAACCACAGAAGTTCCCATTTCTTCATCTCAAGCAATGGTATGGGATTCAGAAATAGAGTGCTCGTGTTCCAATGAAATGAGTCCACATGCTGACATGGATCATAATCTCGATGATGGTGAAGATCTCATGGGCCACAACACACACGAAGACCGTATGACTGAAGTTGAGTTATGGCAACAAATTGAAAACGAGCTTTACAATCGTATGGAAGGTGAGGAAGCTGACGTGGCGAAGGAAATAATGGAAGAAGAAGCAGCAGCCATTGCGGAGGTAGCTGAGAGCCAGCCACAGTGCTCCTTGCCAGAAATAAAGGAGGTGCATAGATTTTTCCCTCCAGGAAGGATCATGCATATAATTACGCTTCTGTCTGACAATGTCAGTTCTGTAGATGATATATCCAGTTCTAGTGACAGAGATGATGACCAGCCAGCAGAGACAAAGGCGGGGATATTCCACACCCCTAGGTCATTGTATAGTAAACTGAGGCTTTCACAAACGATGATAAGTGATCACTTCATGCCAGTTTATAGAAGACAAATTGAAAAGCTTATTACCGAACTTGAGAAGGAAGAAGCAGCTTTGGACAACTGTCATTCTGGTGAAAAACCAGGAGAGGCAGTGTAATAAGGATCATTGGATGACATTTGGATTTGGGTTTTTTTGGTACAGCCGTACCGAGACTCTCTTGGTTCCAACTCCATGATTTTCAGAATGCAGTTAGCTCCAGATCTTTAGTACTTCATTGCCATTGTTGAAATGAGAAAGCAAAGCATGCAGATGGAAACCTCAAGAGTGATGTTTTGACTGGAGCTCCTGAAATCATGCTTGTAAATGAAAATGTGGGAAGGTCGTGGTGCTGCACTGCAACCTTGACAATATGATTCTTGAAATCATTGTCTTCTGTAAAGTAGTGTTTGGGCTGAAATCATGATTTTTTTGATTTTTCAATCAAGTTTGTTTGTGTCCTATTTGTTATTAATTCTAGCTTGACACTGTTCTATCAGATCGACTCAAGGATGAATGGCATAGGCAAAGGGTTTGCTTTGCCAATACAGGGAAGAAATAAGATTTTTAGTTCAACAGTGGCATTCTGAACTAGATTACTGGTTATTTTTGTACCAGACTTGATTAACCATTTATCTTGACAGCCTAACACCATGTGTACATGATCTTTCTTGGGGCAACTTCTGGGATCTTTCATTGCAGCTGGGCTTTCTATTGTCTTGCCCCCCTTTAACTAGCCAGTTGTTTGTTTGTGAGGGAAGAATGAGGTGGGTATTACTATGTTTTGGTTCTTAGTCATTTATAATCAGCTGCATAGGACAAAGTAGAATTTGATGTTTTGCTTTGTTAAAACTCACCTTTTTGGCTGAGGTAAATACTAGCTCTTCTTGATCATGAAGCCAGGTGGAATATTTAAAAATTGTGGTGGTTTTGATTATTTAGAAGAAAGTTCATAAACCTCATTAATCATTGTTTTTAACTAAAATTTTTCTTTTTTCTTCACCTTTCTATTTTGCTGTCTCTAAAGTTGAAATGGCATGCCCATAAACATCATTAATCATGTTTTTGTTTTGTTTTCACTAAAGTTAGCCCATGTTTTTGTTTTGTTTTATATTTTATTTGATCTCCCTGTTTTGTTTTTGTTATGTTTTGTTACTGTGCTCGTGTTCATTTTATCAAAGAGGGTTTGTAAAGGAAGTTTAAAAGGAGATGATGATGCATTTCTTTTTTTCTCTTTTTGTTTTGGCTAACGATGCGTTTCTTATTACACTCCATTATGCAGATATATAAAAAATTTCACAGCACTAGGACCCCAGCGGGGGTCACCCCAGCACCTCTAGTTTTTTTTTCATTGGCCAGTTTTTTTTTTTTTTTTCTTTCAATTACTCACAGCCACGTGGGGCTGGGGTCACTGGGGGTGAGAGTCTTCTGCATTTTTCAAAATTTCATGTACTCTGTAATGGTACAAGTAAATAAAATTTTATTTTCCGATGTGTCAAAATAAATAAATAAATAAAATTCTTTATAAAAATACCCTCTGTGATGTCAGACGTGCAAGCTGTGCCTTGATGGAGATCGTACATGTCAAAAACACCACAAAAAAAATTGCAGGGATGTAAGAGTAGAGATGTCACAGTCCACTTTGCTCATTGGCTAACTTGATGGGGTTTGAGCATTTTCAACAATTCATTAAGGTAGCGTTTGGTGGGTGGTCTACCGGGTGGTCATCCGGTGGACAGAAAACACGCCTGTGTGCGCAGAGTTCTCTGCAGAGAGTGTAGAAAATTGATTTGAAAACGTAACCAAACATGATGCTCCAAAACACACGTAGAAAATTGATTTGGGAATACAAACAAACAGAGCCTAAATTTTTTACTAAGTCTGAATATTAAAAGATTATTTTCTCAATCTGATATAGACTGCTTTAATGGTTATCATTAAAGCAGAGGTCGATCGGTTAATGTATTTTTTTTAATTTTTTTATTTGTATCTCTTTAAACCTTTTGACCTGTTTGAACCAATCTATTTGCAAAGGAATCGATCGACCAGTTGATCAACTGCCAGTCAACCGACTGGTTGATCGGTTGGTCTTCTCTAACGGTCACACACAGTAAATTAGTGAAATCTTCTCTCTGTTCTCACTTTGATGAAAAATTTAGTAAATTCTCGTTTTAATACCAATTGGATGAAACCATTATAACTATAAAAAATAATTATTTTATCAAATTTTAAATTTAATACAAAATTTGGCGAAGCATCCGAGATGATCTTACTTAAGAAACCACATACAATCTAATCTTTTGATTTGGGGGTGACTGTGAGCATATACACCAATCCCAAGCCATTATTACATTTAATAATACATTTCGTTTCTGTTGTGGGTACCAATGTCATTTCCCTTGTTCAAAAAAAATAAAATAAAAAAAAAGGCTGCTAATATTACAGACTTTTTTTATCTTTGACCTTCCCCTCTAGAATTTTACTTTAAAAAATTAAATTTTATACCTCATTTATTGATATTACCATCTTTTAATATTTTATATTAATTTTTTTAATTTTAAACAATTAAAAGTTATGTTTGGGATGTTGGTTTGAGGATATTTTAGTCACTAAAAGACACTAGATTAAAAATTTAATAACACAAAATATTACATTTAAATTATAATCATTTTATTTTGGGCAAATTACATATACTCCCCTTGAGGTTTGGCTAAATTATAAATACCCCCTGAGGTTTGAAAAATTACAAATTCTCCCCTGAATGCTATATTTGCATAACAAATTAGGGGGTAATTTGTTATGAAATATAAACCTCAGGAGACAAATTGTTATGAAAATACAAACCTCAGGGGGCGGGATGTAATTTCTGAAACCTCAGGGGTATCTGTAATTTAGCCAAACCTCGAGGGGTGTATATGTAATTTGCCCTTACATTTAATAATACATTTCGTTTCTGTTGTGGGTACCAATGTCATTTCCCTTGTTCAAAAAAAATAAAATAAAAAAAAAAGGCTGCTAATATTACAGACTTTTTATCTTTGACCTTCCCCTCTAGAATTTTACTTTAAAAAATTAAATTTTATACCTCATTTATTGATATTATCATCAATTCTATCAAGTAGAGTTTTTTTAGCTTAAAATTGGTAATTAAAAAGCAACAGTTAAAAATATATATATTTTTAATTTTCAAAAAATTAGAGTTTTTTTTAAAATTTATTTAAACTAGTTTTACTTAATAAACTACAATAAAAAAATATACCAACAATATTCTCAAATTAAAGTAAATTATAGTAATTTTTTATAAATTATAGTAATTTTTTAATTAAAATATAAGATAAAAAAATTAGTATATTTAAGGTAATTTTTTAAATTTTTATAAAAAATAAAGAGAAAAGAGAATCTTTAATCTTTTGATATAAATTATAAATATTTTAACTTTTTTAATAACTTTTTAACATTTTAACTAAAATATTAACTTGTCAAACTAGCCCTTTGGCCCCGTTTGTTTTGGGTTATAGCAAGGGGATTATGATTACTAGTATCTTGGGATTAGTATATGAGGTGTTTGTTTTGAGAGATAGCCTTGGGACTATGGGCTATTTTGGGAAGTTGGCTTTTAGCCACTTTTTTTGGTTTGTAGCAAAAGCTAAAAGTTGGCTTTTTTGTCTTTTTTTTTTTCATTTAGGAAGTTGGTTTTTAGCCAACGGTGAAATTACAATTTTACCCTCATGGGTCAAAATGTGTTACATAGGTGAAGTTATAAATATTTTAAATTAACAATTCCTCACTACTAATCCCCTCACTATCAATCCCCTCACTAACAATCCCCTCATTATTAATCCCCTCACTATCAATCCCCTCCATTCTATCTCTGAAAACAAACGAACCTCACTAACAATCCCTTCACTATCAATCCCCTCCATTCCATCTCTGAAAACAAACGGGCCTTAATCTTACCTCTAGTCCATCCACCGCCACCTCCGGCCCCTTCACCACCCTGTCCATCCCTTCCCACTCATCTCACCAGTTCCAACTACTTTTCACCCATCTCTGCCCACTCCCCAGCTATCTCGCTTTCCAAGACTTTTTAGACCTTTTTTTTCATTCTAAGAGTGCGTTTGGAAAATAGTTTGATTTTTTGATTTTTTAACTATTTTAATTTAGGATTAAAAATTTTCATTTGCGAAGGATGTTTTGATTTTTTAACTCTTTATGAGAGAAAGAATGTAATGATTATAGATTGTATATGGTGACCTATTGGTTAAAAGTTCACTTTCCTTTCTCACAAAAAAATCAAAAAATAACTTTTAACTACCTTTTCAAAATACTTAAATATTTTAACTTATTAAACTAAAAAAATTATTTTACCTCTTTTTGTGACTAACAATCCCAAATCTAACCTAACCCATATCATCATTGCTCTCTCCTCGAAGACTTCCCTATCTCTGTGACTCTTTTCTTTCTTTTTCTTCTCTTGCACAACTCTCTTTCTTTGTCCCCCTCTCTTGGCAAGGGTGGGGAAAGAGAGGTTATAGGTTTAGGGTCTAAAAGGTTATATAATTGGGGATGGTATTAAGCTTGTTTGTTTTCATTTTTTAAAAATATTTTTTAAAAAATTTTACGTTCTTATTTTTTGTGTTTTTATTGAATTTTTTAATATTTTAAGTAATTTTTTTTACTTTTTAGAGACACCTAACATAAATACACTTAAAAAGCAAAAAAATTATAAAAAAAATCTTTTAAAAATTCACTAAATACCAAAAATACAAGAATTCAGTACATTTTTTTATATTTTTATGTATTTATTAATTTTTTAAAATATTTTTACTTTTTAGATACATCTAACTAAGGTGCATCTAAAAAAATAAAAAAAAAGTTTAAAATTTAAAAAATATTCACTAAAAATAAAAAAATAAGAAAATCAAAAAATTCAATTTACAAAAACTTTAATGCAGAAAACTCAAACGTAAGCACACTGATTGAAATTTTATGATAATATGTAATTATAATAAATTTGATGATAAGATATGTATCAACCTATTAAAATCCACTAATATACATCTTAATAGCAAAACAACCATAACTATATCATTCTGCTGAATAATTTCTTATAAAAAATTGTGAAAGAATAGTTTTTTTTTTTCTTTTAAAAAATAAAAATTTAAACTTAATGTCTATGAGGTGGAGTATATATGCACCAACCCAAGAGCCATTATTGTATTCAATGATACATATGTCTGAGTGCAAATATCATTTTCCTTGTTCAAAGGAAAAGAAAATATGGTCTACCAACTCGTTAATTTTTTGTTTTAATATTAGTGGCGATTCAAATTTGAGCTACGAGATATTTTCTAATTAAATAATACAAAAATTCAAAAAATCACTATCCTATTTAAGTCACATCATCTTATTTAAATCACATCACCTCTCTAACACATCACATCAAACCCAACTCAAACTCAACCCATATAAGTCAATAAGTCAAAAAATACATTTTTTTAAAACATCCCAAACCAACCCTTAGATTCATGAATCAACTTGATCTTAAACCCACCACACTAATACATGTTTTTTCCTTCATTAATGCTCACTTTGTACTGATTTACTAAAGTTTTTGAAAGCATGTGGGTCATTAAGATTGTTTAGAAAAAAAGAAAAAAGAAAATAATTATGTAAGAATATCCTTCTAAGATATATAGGTCACAATCAGCACATGGGGCTTTAAAAATTGTTTTATTTTCGTTGAATTGTTCTAATGAATTGTTTATAAGTTTGAGGAGTTTTCTTAAGTGTGCAAGTGCACACCATGTGCCACTTACACAAAAAGTGTAAGTGTAAGGTGTAAGGTGTAAGTGGGTTGCACATGGTGTGCAACCTCAAAAAAGGTGTAAGTGTAAGGTGTAAGTATAAATATAAAGTGTAAGTGTAAGGTGTAAGTATAAATATAAAGTGTAAGTGTAAGGTGTAAGTATAAATATAAAGTGTAAGTGTAAGGTGTAAGTATAAATATAAAGTGTAAGTGTAAGGTGTAAGTATAAATATAAAGTGTAAGTGTAAGGTGTAAGTATAAATATAAAGTGTAAGTGTAAGGTGTAAGTATAAATATAAAGTGTAAGTGTAAGGTGTAAGGGTAAGGTGTAAGGTGTAAGTGGGTTGCACATGGTGTGCAACCTCAAAAAAGGTGTAAGTGTAAGGTATAAGGTATAAGGTGTAAGTTGCACACCATAACCAAACCCAAATTTGTTTGGTTTGATTACTTTTGAAAATTTATTTGTAGAGAATTTTTCCCAAATTTTTTTTGAGAAACACAAACCAAACAAGGCCTTTATAAATGATTGAGGGTGTGGAGTCCATAATTTTGTAGACCTCACACTCATGTGAACCATTTAATCATTTATTTAGTAAAAATAATTGAGACCTTCCTTTATAATATCCGTGTGTTAGGTAAGATCCACTTGATGGATTGGTAAAATTTAAATGGCCGATGAATTTTTTTTGGTTAGTTTCTGTACGGGGAGGAAATAATTCTCCTCGTATAATCCTGTTGACCAAGTCCACGCTCCTCCGTACGACGTCGCTTTGTCACCTGAAAACACAAACGTGAGCTAGCCGGCGGGTGTGTGCCGGAAACCTCTCC